GTCAAAATTCAGAAATTGAGAAAGTGTTCCATAGCGGCAAGAGAATAATTACAATCGTTTTTTGGCCCGCTACGGTTAAAAAAAAAACGGAACTCATGATGCTGTGGGCACCGAATTCCTACAAATATTTCAAAACTCCATTTTTTTGCGTTTTTTGCAGCTATGCAATGCAGAAAACACATACTGACGTGTTTGTGTGTCTGTGTATTCGTGTATGCGTCTGTCACAACTTTCCATCTCAAGACCTACAAAAGCTACAGGGCTGAAACTTTGGGAACTTAATCTACATGGACATGCGGGTCCCAATCCCCAAAATAGGCGTTCTTACCCGCGTGGTATCTACGTACGGGCCCGCGGAACTTTTTCGCGGGTAGGCCGCTAACTAGAGAAACAGAAAAGCTAGAAAACTGAAATTTTAAGGGGATGTACCCCGCTCAAGTAAGTCCCAATGAGCTCAAATCCAGCCCTCGGGTATGCGTAGTACGCACGCACGGGCCCGCCAAGTTTTTCTTCAGGTAAGTAGCTAACTTGAAAACTTGAAAAGCAAAAAGACTGTAGTTTTAAGATGATATTCCCCGTCTACCTAAGTCTCATTGAGCTCAAAACCAGCCCAGGGTATGCGTGATACCCACGTACGAACCCGCCGAAATTCTTTTCAAGTAAGTTGCTAACTTGGGGACTTGAGGAGCCAGAGAATTGGAATTTTAAGGATATTTTCCCCGCCCACATAAGTCTCATTGAGCTCAAACACAGACACCGGGTATGCGTTGCACTCACGTACGGGCCCGCCAAATTTTTTCTTGAGTAAGTTGATAGCTCGGGGACCAGAAAAGCCAGAAGGCTGGAATATTTAGGGAATGTTCCCCACTCACGTAGGCATTAATGAGCTCAAACCTAGCCCGCTGTTATGAGTCATTCCCACGTATGGTCCCATAAGATTTTTTCGTGTAAGTTGCTAAATCGGAAACTTCAGAAGCTAGAAGACTGGAATTTTGAAGGGATGTTTCCTGACAATCCTGGAGGCCAGTCTGAAATTTTTTTAGCTAGAAGCATCTTCTGGAAAAAAACATGTCGCTGGCGACAAAAATCTGCGGGGAACTGTGCAAAAAACGCATCTTTACACGGGCAGCCCAGCGTTTTCCAATTACTAAAGCTGAAATCTAAGATAGAGGAAAGATAAACAACTACTCCTGCATATCGCTCATTTTCCATCACATTCTTTTTGAGGTGAAATCACCATAACTTAGTTTGAGGAGCACTGAGAATGCAGAAATAAGCTGCAAAAATCAAGAAATATAAAACCTGATTTACTTGCCGCTACGATAAAAACAACAAAAATACTGAACACTATTTACAAAGGCAGGACGCATCATGTTTCATCGTGAAGCTAACATCGGCGGGGGCTGCGAGTCAATTTTCATATTTTCTTCTTTGCAGTGCAAGAAATCCTCCATTTCCTGAGCTTTCCATGCTGTTCCCTTGAACTGCAACGAATCGCTCGATTTCTTCAATTTGTACGCACCTAAAAAAAGCGGTGAGAAAAACTTTCTCGGAAAATTCCATGTGTTCAGAAGCAAGTGCAGTGCAACTCGAAGTGAAAATCAGCTCTAGAAATATCGAGGAAATCAGGTCCATGTGAGTTATCTGTTCATTTGAGTATTATGCATAATTTGTATGAAAAATTACAAGTTTCACATCTTCCATTTTACCCCTCCCCTCTCCTACCTCTGCCGCCTTTGTTAGCTTCTAGATATATCAAGAGAACAAATGCCCCTTCCCAGCTTGCCACTCTTGTTACTTCACAGGCGTAGCAAGACGAAAATAGCGACCCTAACAACAAACAAGCCAAAAGTCCCGAAGAAATGTTCCTCCACCACGACGGATCTCTGCCCAAGTAAACAACCACTTCGCGGCTTCCGAGAAACTGTCGCACATGGACCGAACAAACAGTGATTGGTAAAGTCCAAGACTACATAGTTTGGCAGTGCTGCGAGAAATACGTCAGTATGTTTCAGACACTGTTTGAGGCAGTGCTAAGTTATAAGACTCATATGAAAAACGTGCGAAGACTGTCCGAACGGTTCTTATTTACACCCGTTTTAGTTTAGGTTCTTTATGAATCTGCTTTCATGTTTTACTCTTTTTCAGAGGCAATTCACATCGAAAGCTCCATAACAAAAATGGACTATTTTCATAGTGAAATGAAATGAAATGAAAAAAAAGAACTATTTTCCTGAACTAAAACGAAATGAACTGTTTTCTTAATCAAGTCCCCCCTCCCCCCGGATAATTCATGATCTTGGAATTCTGCCTTCTCTTCCCTCACCTTCCCTCTCCCCCCATCCTTCCCTCCCTTTCCCAGTCTGCTTCAAAGCAGGAAATTCGTTAGTCAATCATCATCCATGATCGCTTCATTCTGCACAAACAAAATTAACCCAACTACAGTGGATCTGAGGAAAATACAACGACGTATGAGGACCCGAACAAACTCCTCTGTGGAACATACAAAAAGAATGACACAAAAAAAACTCAGAGAAAAATGAAAAAATTACCCAAACTGATGCCGGCAAACACAACCATAATCCCAGCGGTTGCGCCAAATCGTGTAAAGAACCCACTCAAACCCATTTTCTACCTGAAAAAACACTTCATAAATCGATGACTTGCTCAAGAACAAATAATGGGCTGCATTTTCTTGTCTCGGAAAAAACGCTAACATCGTATATGTGGAAACAAAGTTCTGGGCTCGAAAAACTGAAATTTAGCCGGTGTCGCAGAGGCCCGTCATAGGAGGGGAAAAATACACCTGGAATGGAACGAAATGAACGCAAATTTAATCGAGTAAAATGATATGAAAAGAAAGGCCAAGAAAAAAAAAAGTGAAAAAAGATAGTGAAACAGCATATGTTGTGGAA